CATCACGACATCGCGCTGCTGTGTGCGCGTGGCCGCACACGGGCACACTTTAATGCCCCTGTCGCAGCTCATGCCGTGTTGTCCCTGTGTTCGCACTACTTTTTCTCTCTCACTCTCTCGTTGTCTATCACTGTCTACCTCCCTTTCGTTGCTTGCTCCAACGTCGGGCAGCCATCGACGCGCCTCCTGCCGTCCATTGCTGGTTTCCCACCATCGCACGAGTGCGCTTAGGCCCACGTTGCCCTGCGTCGCTCCCCTTCCGTGCCATACCTCGCAGCACGATCGGCGTCGTCTGCGCCAGGCCAGGCACACCACTGCAGAGAACCCGGTTGGGCCACAACCATCCACACCTATGGCTAAGATGGCCGCAACACCTCACCGCCTCCAGTCACGCCTGCTGTGCCATCGCCCGGCTCCTCGCGCGTGAGTGCGCTGAGTCTGCACGGTCCCGCGCTGGACTTGCGGCTCCACTGCGAGGCCGCTTCCTTCACCTATCGCCGTGCACGTAGGTGTGCCCAGGTCCCGCACCACATCTCCATCGTGACCGTGCTACCGACACCCCATGCGCCGCCCCACTGTCTCCGTCGGTCGGCGCATCGCCTGGCTACCGGGCAGCCACAGCTACTCGCCTCCGCGGCCATTGCTAGTCATGCCGCCCCTCCCACCGCCGCCAAAGCGCACCTCAAGCGCGCGCTGCTCATCTGTTGCCGTGCCCCGCCGTCGTCCGCGCCGGCCCGCCTGCTGCCTGGAGCCGGCGAAGCACCCCTACCGCTGAGCCACTTCTCCTTCGCTGATGTCGCCCTGTGGCCGCCCACGTGCATGCGTGGCCACCGTGCCGTGGGACGCCTCAGGCCATGTCATCGACGATCGTGTGCACGGCCAGGTCCGGTGCTGCCCCTGTGTCGCCTGGTCGCTGTTCCTCTGGTGGGAATCGGCCGGAGCCACCGTCCTCTGCTCATGCTCTATTTTGAGGATGGAGAGAAGGTGAGAAATGGAAATAGAACCTTTCTTTGGGTCCAGATGCGAAACACTAGACTCAGATGAATAGTACTATGGAGTGCCTGATGTACTGCGGGGTGAATTGTTAGAAGATCAGGGGTCTCGGTGCAAAGTGGTACCATCACCGCCTTGCCTTGGCGCGTGGGCCAGTTTGCTAGGCTGCGGCCTGCCTGCCGCTTGGGCCATTCTCGCCCTCGTGCTTGGGCCGGCCTTGTGCCGCTTCCGCTTGGGCCGCGCGTCCGTCTGGGCCGACCTGGTGCCGCCCGCGCCTGGGCCTCGCGCTGTGCGCCTGTAGGCCGAGCTGGCTCGCCGGTCGTGGGCCACGTTGAGGCCGCGCCCGCCGTGGGCCGATTTGGTGGGCACCGGCCCTTTTAGTTTTCTAAAACAATTGTTAATTTAATTTTGGAAATAAACTTATAAAATCAATATAAATGTGTGTAGTTGTCCAAAAATTATGAGACCAATTTTGTTAACTTCCTAAAATCATGATCTATCTAGTATCGTATTTGGTTTATCTAGTTTTAAAATGTTTCTAGGGTTGCTCTAATTATTTTAACATGCTTAATAATGTTAAAATGTGAACTTGTAGGAATTTTCGTGATAAATCGGTAATAGTATTGACCCTAAAAATTTTACAGTAAATTACTAATATTATTAGCTGCTCACTGTAATTTTGTAGCTCCAGAATAATTAGTTTGCTAGATAGATAATGATGCCCTATTTCGAATAAAGATTAAATTGAAAGAATGGAATAAAGAAACAACTTGGGTTTGTATAACTAAAACATTTGTTAGTAAATAATGTCTTATTCGACAACATGGATATGTAGCCTAAGTACGGTCGTCGTTAGAACTAGCTCGTTAACTTGAGAGGCGTAAATCGTATTTTACGAGTCACGGTTTCAGTCGATTAATTATGTCTTTGCATTGCATTGCATATCATAATAGGGACGTCGATGGATCGTGGAGTCATCGGGAGTTACTGGAGAAATGGTGCTTTTGGAGATCATGACGCCATGATGGAAAGCTAACTTCTGATTATATTTTACCCAGGCAAGCCCCGGTGCATAACCCCTACTATTCTGTACTTAAAATTATATTTGTGCATTAAGTTTTAAGGAGTTGAATGAAACCCACTTGCATATATATATATATATATATATGCTATAGGATCGTGTAGATTGCTATGCTATAGGACTCCGGCAGAAGTCGAGTGATTGCCTGTCACTCGCGAGAGATAGGAAATATATTACTGTATTATTATCACTTGGAATATATAAAATAGTGGAAAGGAAAAATAGAGACCGAGCAGGGATATGGTTTGGGTATTGGTGGGTGTAAGAGGTTGTGTCCTGCGGCCAACGGGGCATAGCTTGGTTACACTATTTTCCCTGTCTATGTCGGTTAAGGACCGGCCGTTGCATTGGACTCTAGGTAAGTCATAGACTTATTATCTCGAGCACATACTTGGGTATGGACATAGGGAAGACTTGTTACTCTCTTGTCATGGGTTCCGGCTCTTTCCGGACCGACATTCAGGGTGGTTTTTGGGTGGAGGTCCTTGCACCGCGCTGAGTCCGGGACTCAGTGGCGGGGGCTTGGTGTCCAAGTTTGGATAGGGACCTGGACCTCGTGACAAAAGGGTAGTGGGTTGGTCCTGCTTGTGCCTGGCGTACAAGCGGGGCGTGTGTTTCGGGGAATCCAACTGGGCTCATTGATTCGTGAATCGCCGCCGTGTCGGTACGACTTGTCTAAACTCTAGCACCGTAGTAAGAACTGGAAGATGAAAGATGGTAAAAGAAAATCTTGAAAGTAGCACAGGTGCTTACATAGAATGGTTAGTTAATGAACTAATGTGACTGCTAATAAAATTGAATATAAGGACGCACGCTTAGTAATGCTTCCTGCAGATGCAATAAACCCACAAGCCAGATAGCCATGTATATCCTTGGAGTCTTTTCTTTCCTCCTGTCGGGTAAGTCTTGCTGAGTACAATTGAGTACTTAGGGTTTTATTTCCCCTTGTTGCAGGTGATAGGTGGATGCTAGAGCTGACTCTTGTGTGTGGATTCTTCCTGGTGGGCTCAGAGAGGATTCCTTTACGCTACGATCATAGTTTTTATTTATAACTCTCACTAAATGTTTTTCTAAATGGAAGTTTTATAATCTGTTGTCATAGTTTATATATCAATGCTTCATCATGTCATGAATAGATATTTATTTTAGCTGTAATTCTGATCACATGTTTATATTCCGCTGTTAACTTTAATTGTTCATAACTCTGATAACATGTTCATATTCCGCTATTATAATTAATAAATATTATTTTCTAATGTTGCATGAAAAGTGATGTAAGAAATGGTTAATAATGATGTAAGCTTTATTCTCTCATTTGTGATCCTGATGGAAAAATGTTGATTTTTGGGTTCTTTCTTGGGGTGTGCTCGACGGAACCGCGTAATTTGGTGTCCTCCCTTGAGTACTTAGTGTCTAATGGAAGATGAATACTCCTGGGAAGCATTAGATTAGGAGGTTCTGCCACACATTCTCCCTAGTGTTATAAATGGGCTGAAGATGAAGAGTAGAAACTTGAAGTACACAATTAAGGGGAGTGGTGATCTCAAGGCTGAGATATCTGGATTGACTAAAGACAACTATCCTTGGAGGCATGCTATGGACCTTGAAAGCAAGACATGTTCATGTGGTCAGTGGAATATTTCTGGGAAACCTTGCACTCATGTTATAGCATTTATAGGTTCCCTTAGACAAATTAAACTTGAGGACTTTATTCATGATTACTACTCAGTTCATCGTTTCAAGGCTACATATCAGTTTGGGGTCATCCCAATGGTTGACAAGTCACAGTTGCCTATTGTTGATCCCTGGTTTGTAATGGTGCTTTCGAAGCTTGAAAAGTCTGTAGGTAGGCCAAGAGTGAAGAGAATCAAAAGTAAGGGTGAGGCAGGAAAAAAGGGTCCTTACCAATGCAAAAGATGCTTCCAGTTTGGGCATATTGAGAAGGGTTGTAGTGAGCCGCCTACTGAACTCGCTGTTGAATTGCCACCGACAACTCCTACTAATTCAAGGTAAATTGACCCCTATACTTTTGCTATAACATGATCTTTTATTAAATATGGCTGATACCTTCCTGATGTGTAGGAAAAGAAAAGAAAAGGACAGTACACCTAGCTGCAAAAAAGCTCCAAAAAATCCAAGAAAGTATCTGCACCTTCTACTTCCTTAGTCACACAACCACCTGTTAGTCCAGGACAACAATAAGAAGGATGGCAGCTTCCACTAGTCCTCTCAGTCCAAGACCAACAGCAAGGAGCAGGGCAGCAGCAGACATATCCCCAGGAGGAATTGCAAGAAGGCTTATCGTAGGCTAAGCAATGGCTTTGTTTGTGCAAATGCTATGTGTTGTACTACTATTATGATCTAGTTAGACTATGGATGCATGTGTTGAACTACTGTATGTGTTAGCAGACCTGCCTCCTTTGTTGTCTTAACTAGTGCTCTGTTGAGAAATGGTTGTTGAGAAGTGGCTAATGTGAATGTACGTGTTCATGTGTGCTTATATTAAAGGGATCCCTTTATTAAATGTCTTCGTATGTGCTAAAATGTATGTGCGGGAATATGCTTATATTGCTACTGAAATATATGCGTTCATTTATGTTTAAATGTTAGGACACATACTGCTGTTTATTTAGTTCTCACTGGGATATGTGTGTCCAAGTTAACAGCTCCGTGACTTCATTTTAACGGAATGGTACTTTTAGTTTATAGTACAACCTTTCAATGATAATTTACAGGGGCATAAACTTTAAGTGATATTTTATGGAGATCGCGATCTTTCAATGCTACACAACCAATTTTCCCAAAAGCAAAAGAGAGTGTTAACGCCCAGAGTTTATATTGTACACGAACACGATATACTTAGAATACGTGTTTTGCCCAATGTTTTTAACGTTGCATAATATGACCACACCGTAAACCGGGACGATTAGTCCACATCGGCGTAGAGGTGCTCCGGCAGCCTGGGCTCGGCGATGGCGACGAGGGGCACCTTCATGCTCGTCGTGAGCCCAAAGAATTCCTCCATGCTCAGGTCCTCGGGCGCCACCCGGTCCGGCAGCCGCCACGTGAACCCGTGCACTAGGTTCGCCAGGGCCGCCGCCACCTCCTTCATCGCGAGGTTGTAGGCCGGGCACATCCGCCGCCCGGCCCCAAATGGCAGTAGCTCAAAGTGCACCCCGCGCACGTCCACGTCCCTGGCGCCACCCCCGGCGAGGAATCGCTCCGGCCGAAATTCTTCGGGCGCGTCAGACCACGACGACGGGTCGCGCGCCACGGCCCACACGTTCACCAGCACGCGTGCTCCGGCTGGGATGTCGTAGGCTCCGACCACCGTGTCCTCACGGGCGCGGCGAGGGACCAGGAGAGGGGCTACAGGGTGGAGCCGCATCGTCTCCTTCACCACGGCGTCCAAGTAGGGGAGCGCTGGCAGGTCATGCTCCGTGACCCAGCGACCACGGCCCACCACGCGGTCCATCTCGGCGGTGGTGGCCGCGATGGCGTCCGGGCGGCGGAGGAGCTCCGCCAACGCCCACTCCATCGTAATCGCCGCGGTGTCCGTGCCACCGGCAATGATGTCCAGCATGAAGGCCTTGGCACCATCGCGCGTGAGCCGGGCCTCCGGTTCCTCCGGCCCGCCGCCCTCCTCGGCTAGCTGCAGAAGCACGTCCACCATGTCTGTCGCTGCGAACTCGCCGCCGTCTCTAGCACAGCGTCGCCGGTGTTTCTCGTGCTCGTCGAGGATCTGCTCCGTAAACCGGTCCAGCTGCTCGTGCACCCTCTTCATCCGACGAGTGAAGCCCTGCACGTCAAGCTGCCCCAGCCACGGCACCCACTCGCCGATGTTACTCACGGCGCCGGTCACCGCGAACGCCTCATCCAGGGTGCGCCGAAACGCCTCGCCTTCCTCACTGCCGTAGAAGCCCAACCACTTGTCCCCGACAGCCATGCGAAGGATGTTCCGCATGGTGAAGTTCACGAGGTGCTCCTTCACCTCGACGGTGGCGCCGGCGGACTCGAACAGGCCGCGAGTCAGCGCGCGCGTCTCCTGTGCGCGCATGCGCTCGAACGAGTCGACGCGGCGTGGGGACAAGAGCTCGGTGGCGCACAGCTTGCGTGCCATGCGCCAGTAGGGGCCGTAGGGAGTCTGCAGGATGCCCTTGCAGCCATAGGCGAGGATGGCGCCGAAGGCCGTGGGCGGACGGTCGGCGAAGGCGAGGTCATGGGTCTTGAGGACCAGCCGTGCCGTCTCCGCCGAGGATGCCACCACGGTGTCGAAGGAGCCAAGCCGGAGATGCATGAGCGGGCCATGGCGCGCCGCGAGCGTGGCCAGTGCGCGGTGCGGCGGGAGAGCGCCTGCCAGCAAGCCGAGGCTGCCGATCACCGGCCATCCCTGCGGCCCTGGTGGGAGGTTCAGCCGCTTCTGACGGCCGCGGAGCCAAACAACGGAGCTGAGCACGAGGATGACGAAGCAGGTGGCCACCAATGCCACAGCCATTGACACTGTTGGTGTGCTACGTTGTGAGCTGCGCGGGCAGAAATGGAAATGGAAGCCTTCCTTGGGAGCATGGAGAGTGCAGGTTTTACGGTGGCATAAAAAGAGCTGAGGGAACTGTAATCGGAGAGAGTGATGTAAACAGTCACGTGGTCATGTGTCCGTTGTCCACTCTCTTTTTGTTCTTATACAAAACCAAGGCCAGATATATATTGTCTGAACACGACACGTGTGTTAGGAAGTGTTCGGCTGGCTAGTGGGCCGGCTCATTCGCACTGTTTCGCACTGTACCTACAGTACTTTTCTCTCTTGCGCTAGCAGCGGCCGCAGCCCGAACGGCTGGCTTAGGGCCTGTTCGGCAGGACTGAAAAATACTGTTCCGGCTGATTGTTGTGAGAGAGAAATACTGTTCTGGCAGGACGTGAACAGTGATTATGTGAGAGGAAAAACAAGCCAGCTGGCTGGCTTTAAGCCAGCCGAACAAGCCCTTACCCAGCAGCCGAACACAGAATCCAATAATTCAATAATTCATCGGTCGACCTCAAATGCATTTTTTTTTTGTCATTGACATCACGCAAAAGGGCCGTATTTTAAGGAGCTCTTGTTTTTCCATTGGCTACTAGCATGGTTTTTTTATTTATAAAAAAAATCATCTCTACTATAATGCAACGTAGTGTATTTAGAAAAGATAAAACGCCTTATAATTTAGAACGGATAAAGTAGTAGTTATATTTTTCTGATTCGTGGAAATTATAATGACACAAATCTAAATATAAAATACCCTAAGTTCCATAGGACGTACAGATGCTGCTGCTAACAGATAGTACGGGCTGGTCTAAACCAGACACCAAACAATGCTATCGTCTCAGTCTCACTCACACGTCGTTAATGGATGACGGGCAAAAATGGTGGAAACAAACAGCAACAAGCATGCCGCAAGGTCACGCGCCAGACTCGGGGACTTCTCCTGTCAGCCTCCGTCCATTACTGTGTGTGTTCATTGTGCCACTGTCATTTGTTGTGTACAAATTTGCTTGTTGCAGGGGCTTTTCACCTTTACACATTTGTTGCTTTCAGGTCACATACACGTAGTAAGTTGCTTTTGTCAGTTCTTTACCCCACTATTATATGCCAGGCATTAAGGTTCTGTTTGTGGTTATATATGCCAGTTCCCATGTGTTTTAGCTAGCACTTAGCTGTGTTTGTGGTACATCAATCATTTTTCCCCATTTGTGGTTCTTCCTTCGGTAGTCGATCTTTTCCTTCTATGAGTAAATATGTTCTAGAGTTGAACACATTGCGAATAAGTTATTCTCCATTAGGTGGCGATAATTTCCCTGTAACTGTGTGAACATTGAATTATTGATTGAATATTTTCATTACAAAGCATTGTGGTTGTTAAAGCTCACTATCAATTCTGGCCACCAAATGTGATCAGAAAAAAATCTGGCCACCAATCTGCTCATTCTTTTAAATATGTACATGTCCTTTGTCTGCTATTGTGCATCCCTTTCGGATTGTATGTGTATATACCTGCTATGTTCATATTCAGTTCTGTACAGATTTCCCTTTGCGATGCAGTACTGCAGTTATTATATACTCTCCTGTCCCTAAATATCTGTCGTTTGCGCTTCTCGAAAAACAACTTTGACTAAATATATATTAAAAAATATTAATATTTATGGTATATAATTAACATCATTGGAAAGATCTTTGAATCTAGTTTTTAATAAATTTATTTAGAGATATAAATGTTGCACGTATTTTATACAAATCGAGTCAAACTTGTGGCACGCATACCGACGGCGACAGTTATTTAGGGACGGAGGAGTATATGCTATGCCTGTCAATTTTGAATGCGAAATTATTATGCTTTGTGCATTCCCTGTTCAACTCAATGCAATACTGTTCATTTTATTAAATGCGTTCATTTTATTAAATACTACTAATACAGTAACATCCACATGCAGAAAAATAAGGAAGACTCTATATACAGGTATAAGACCGTGTTGTATTGGGATTTAATTAGCTTGGTTTATGGCAAAGATCGTGCAACTGGTGAGGCAGCGAGAACCGCATCAAAGAGTTCCAGAGAGATGGGTAGGGAAGAGAATTGCAGCAAAGAGCCTACCTCATCAGCAGTACCACTTAGGATGAAGCGCCCAAAGGCCCAACATCCAAAGAAATTCTCAACACACTGAATGAGGTAGATGGATTAGATGAAGACACCCTACTTGAACTGTTTGATATCTTAACTGCTGATGCACGCAAGTATGAGTCCCTTTTGACACTTCCAGTTGTAGTGAGAAAGAAATGGTTGCTGAAACAACTCAGCAAGTGAAGAATATGTGTATCTGTCTTCATGTGTGCATCTGTCTATCTAAATGTGTGTGTAGAGAGAGAGAGTAATGTGCTCATGTGTATACGTCTTCAAGTGTGTATTTGTGTATCTGAATATGTGTAGAGAGAGAGAGAGAGAGTAATGTCTTATGTGTATGCTTGTTGCCTATTCGTATGTCTATTTGAACATCTTGTCTGTATATGCTAGTCGTTGCCAATGTTTGTCTATCTGAACATCTTGTTTAGAATCTGGTAATTGTCTACATACAATATTTGAACATCCAAACAACACTTGGAATATAATTCTAAGAATGAGTTTTCACATACATCCAACGAGTGAATCGAAATGAATCAGATTCTCGGCAATTCAATTCTATTAAATCTAATTGCTATTTCATTCCTAGAATTAGATTTATTCGAGAGAAACAAACGGGCCCTAAGTTCTATAAGACGTACAAATGTCGCAGCTAACGGATACGGCCGGTCAACCAAAACACCAAACATGTTGTTAAAAAAACAAACAATGGTATCGTCTCACAATTAAGTCATTAACGGATGACGAACTGATCATAGATCAGTTGGTTGGGTTTCTTATAATAAATACCTGTTTATCCCGGTTCAAGTTCAAGTTCTTGACATGGCACAGGTGCTCGTATTTTTCTGAATTTAGTACAAGAGTTAACGGCACTATGGTAGGCGACATCCTCGTCGACAGTGAGGCGTCTGTGGTGACTTCGTGAATTCCAAGACCGGACGGCTCAGTTCTTCGGAGATGCTCACAGGGATAGGGTTTGCCTATGTGTGATCATAGTGATGAGTGTGCGTGTGTTGTGAGCGTCTACGTTGTACTGTGTAATTTAAAAAAATCGTTAATGGATGACGGGCAAAAATATGGTCGAAACAAACAGCAACAAACGCTGACACGGTGACTCCTGTCAGCCTCCTCCCTCCTCCACGACGGCGGCGTGTGTCTCCCAATGACGCCGGGCGCCGCCCTCGGCTGCTTCGTTGGCCGTGGCTGCCCCCAGCCCCTCGCGCGCCGTGCTCTCCATGGCTCCGCATCCAGCCTCCATGAGTCCGCACCAAGACAGCGCCTGTGCCGACCCCGCCCGAGCCCCTAACACGGTGACGCCTGGGTGCCGGACGGAGGGAGGAATCGTCGGTGGCACATCTGTGAGAACTAAGAATCATCTTCCCCCTCCATTCTCTTCTTCCTTTCAAGTACCCCAAATCTCTAATCCTATATAATTTGATATTTTGATGTAGCTGATAGATGTAGCCACGCAGGTAGTAGAATTGTAGAAATTAGCTGGGAAATAAGATGAACGATATAGTCTTTTGGACGATTGCCTTGTCATGTTCATTGAAAAGTAGTGATGTAATTATATATGGTCTTTAAGATTCTATATCATGCATATTTCAAATTATTAGTATGTCATTTGTATACGTAAATTTCGGTCCAGCATATCCTATGCAAAAATCCTAGATCAGCCACTGAATATGGGCGTGTTAATTTCACAGTTGGGGTTCTGAACCCACTTCGCGAGACACGTCCGATCAGATTGACTATTTTATGAGTTCACAAGACACCCAGCCTGAAGTTTTTAGAATACACCCCCCTTCGACAGGTAAACGTGGTGTTTTCTGTTGCCGTGGTGTGCTTTTGTTTGCAATCAATTAGTTTTCCCCACATTACTGATTTTTGTGGTTTTGTTTATGTTTCCAGTATATATTGGATGATTGGATCTGCACCAATTGTTTACATTTATCAAGTGTATTGTGGACATACAATTTGTTTGGTTAGTTGCCAAAGATGAGATACATTCCAGTAGTCAATTTGTTTGTTTGTTTGGTTAATTTACCCAGCACCAGCTAAATAATCAATATTTCCCAGTAATCTTTGGGATTCAATGCTTAAAGTAGTTGATATAAATGTTTAGGAATAATGATACCGAAATTTAGCTTTTAAAGAATGTTGCCAGGATTGTTATAGCTGGATTCATTTACGATGGCAAAAAAATTATGGGCGTTCACAATCTGACTGGTAGGGTGCCGCGAAGCGTGCAAAAGTTTCTAGTATGTTTAGAGCAGCATGTTAGGTTTGTCACGTGGTTTTTAAAAATACAGATCATAAGCTACTCCCAACAGTACGATTTATATGACATAAAAATGCATATCTAGGTGATTTGATTTTTTTTCTTTGTCGATATCATTACAGTATGATCCTTGAGTCACTTGTCCACTCTTCAAATGCTTCTAACAACCAGAAAAAGCTGGCTAAATCCTTTGGCGAATTAAAAATTGTGGTTTCTGCAACTTTCCATTGGAATACTGCAAATAAGGATGTCACCAAACACCTTGAGAAAGGTAGTAGTGTTTAGGCCTTAATTCCGTAATTCTGTGATCATGCTCTGGATGCTATGGGCTGTGATCTTTTTGCCTAGTAGGACCCAATGTGGTTGCCTCCACTGGAGCTGCTTATTATCTCATTTTCCTTAGCACTGATAGTAGAACATGGTGGTGCTCGCTAACTACTGCATGATTTATGAGTCCCACTATCACTGTCAGGGTATGCTTCCCCCTATTTTGTTCTCCTTTTTTCTGATTCAGTTTAGTGAGCCTAGATGTGGTTTCTGACTGGTTTGGGTGATAGAGATTAATTC